ACTTAGATTCTATGAACGCTAAAAATGTTAATTTTGCAGCTTTCCCTAACCTGTTTTAAGCACAGCTATTAAAAACATAGATAAAAATGCCCCAAAGAGTTTTTTTTCAATACTATCTTATACCACAGGCTCTTGGACCCAAGGGGCTAAATGTAAGCACCAAAGTCAACATCTTAGGCACTTAAACAGAAGAAGGATATTTTTTTTCAAAATTCTGAGCACCTAAGTCATCCTTTGAATTCTATGCCCTGCATCTTTCAAACTCAGGTCAGTTACTTGGGTGCCTAAATACAAATTTAATCTGAGATACATGAAAAGTAAGATGCTGGTTTTCCTCATTGCGATTATACTTTTCTACATTTAGTATGAATTCCATATAATAAACTTAAGTATTTGCTTGAGGTGAACCATGTACCTTATTTATCTTGTAGCAACAGTACTTTTCCCATCATTTTATAAATTGATTATAAATACTGGCAGCCACATTATGTCGTTTGGAAGTAAAGATGACTTCTCTTGCTTCCCAAAACCAAGGAGATTTTTAAAGTAAGGGGATAACTTTGAGCAATTTAGATTATGACTCTAATTGAAATCAAACATTAAAATATACTGCATCTTATCTAATCTTCCTTGGCCAAAATCTCTTTTTCTTGCACGTCCTTCATCATTTGCAAATGGTCATTTACATTATCACAAAGCGGAAGCAAATTCATTTTGGATTTAAGGTTACCACTTTACATCTATTTTTCACTCTTTTTTTCTGTGCTCTAAATTATTGCAAAAGGCACAGCATGCTGGAAAACACTGAATCTGAAAATTCAGCCAAAGATCTCTAATGAACAAACTTATCTGTTGAAAGCACCCTGCTTTGGGTTTTGGTCTCAGCCAAAAAGATATTGGCGGGGCAGGGAGGAGAGTATGAGAGTAACCAGATACTTCAAAACTTTTGAAATAGTGTACTATGTTGTACAATCCTAGTATTCTGATTATATATAAACTGATTCAATAAATGAGCAATACTAGGTTAGAAGCATGGCCTTTATTATAGCTCAGTAGATGTGGTGAGAATCTAAAGAGGGTCCCAAGAAACATTTATAGTCTAGGAAACTTCTTAGAGAGACCTGTGAAGTCATCTGTATGAGGGCCAAGACATTTAAAAAAAAAAAAATTAAATTAAAATCTGGGTTTAATATCTTAAACCATGACTATCCCTTCTAATTGCTTGTAAATGTAAGGAATCTTGTAGTTTTCAAGTAAAACAAAAAATATATTACTTACATCATTCAGATCATCTTTTGCATTGTAATAGACGATGTCATTTGTCTGGGAGAGAAAAGAAAAAAAAAGTTTAATTGTTAGTTAATGGATAACATGGCCTAAAGTGAATTTGAACTCACAGATTTAAGAGACAAAACTGGATTTCATAGCACATGCGCTGATTTCTGATCAGGATCAAGTCCTTTTACTCTTTTTGTAAAACTACAAAAACAACAAAGAATTGTCATTTATATAGTACTTCTTTCCTAAAAACTTCTTTCCTATAACAAGGTGCACCAATGACAGCTGGAAAGTACACGCTGCTAAGAAAAAATATATGTCCACCTCTGCCAGCAGAAGACTTATAAAAGCTATGTGTTTTAAAGATATATGAAGAATTCACAATGCAAAGTGATGATATATGTACCCAAAACCCTACCAGGCAACAGACATGATAACTCACCAGCTTTACAAGGGTAAGTGGGTTATTAAGTATTTGTTGCACATATTTCACTCTTCATGCTCCACGGCAAAAATTAGCTTGGGGACTATGCATCACAGGGCAATCCAATTCTTGTGGCACACAATGGCATGTAACATTACAGTAGATTAATTGTAACATTCGAACTCTAACAGAGCAGCGCACTAGTATAATGCTAGCTTCTGTTGCTCTAACATTCTGAATCTTCATTTACAGTAATTTCCAGAGCAAGTAGAGGAAAATTTCCCATTAAAAGCTTGTCTGTTTTTTGTTTTGTTTTGGTTTTTGTTTCTGAAAACAAATCCAAATTTAGTTTATTTTAGCAGCCCTACATATTACAGTAACAGATTCTGCTTACTATACACAGTTGTGACCTTCCACTAGCCATGATTATTATAATATATATAGTATTTTGTATGTTTAGAGTGTCTCCTGTCTAAGGATCTCAAAGTGCTTTACTAAGCCCCCAGTCCCCTAACACATTTATTCATGTGTTTAAGTGCTAGCTGGACTGGGACATATCTGCCTTTCTTTAGAGTGAAGGGGAAGTAAAAGGGAAAGAAAAATATAGCACATTTCATGATATGCAGCAATATGCCAGAATCAAAAGTTATTATTCCCTATCGAAGTCAATCTACGAAAAACACTGTTTATACTTTGAATCTGGTCTACAGTAAATAATGATTTTAGAAAGAACATATCTGAACTCTGTTACTCTATACGTGTGGCTCGGTGGTTCTCAACCATTTTAGACTCAAGGCCCTTCATTAGATTCACAGCATCCCTCGATAACTTTTGTGACTTGAGCAGCACCCAATTCCAAAAGCTAACAATTTTATTACAGTGCAGACAGATTCATTACAGGCCATGAGTCATGTGAACAGGGGAATGGCCAGGCAGGGACTGAGCCTGAGCCTACGCTTATCTCCTCACCACACCATTCAAAGGATCTCGGGGCACCCCTGCACACCCTGGTTGAGAATCACTGGTCTAGCTTTATAGCACAGGATAATTAGTATCTAAATATAACAGCCTAAAAACAAGGATAGGATGTTCTTCCATTAGTTTCTTCTACTGAAACATATCAGATTTTGTTTATAAAATGTAGAACACAAGTGCATTAAAAACAAACAAAAAACCCACAAAACACAAACTCTTACTTACATGCATAGATTACTTATGCAAAAGTTTAAATGACACTAAAGAAACAAGGAAAAATTGATTTTTCCCTATAAGTGTCTTGAAAGGCTGAATGGAAAAGGGCTATGTGTGGGTAAAGCACTAAGGGTACATACAGACATTTGGGGAAGTTAGATCAAGTTAAAAATGGCCACCTGATCTAAGGTAAGCTGAGATGGGAGGGTTAATGGGGCAGGACAGGAAGTGGGGGGGAAAGCAGGCTCCAGGGAGGGAATTGCGGGGTGGGCAGGGAGGATCCACAGGTGGGAACTGGGGGTCCAAGGGTGGAACTGTGGAGCTAGCAGGGTTTGCAGGGGGCTGGGTGGCTCTTGCTCCTCCCCCCCCCATCAGGATCAGGGGTTATTTTTAACCTTACTTCCAGATGAACAACCCTCCCCACAGTGAAACAATCCTCCCACGCTGACTTACTTCAGTCAGCTCCCAGCACCAACAAATTCCAATAAAACTGGTACTCAGAACAACTTGTGAGATGGGGATGGGGGGTTGGCTGGTTTGTGGGGGGGTGGGAATGTGGGAGTTGTCCATTTGGGAATGGGGCAAGGGCCTGGGAGGCTAAAAATACCCCAGTGCCAGAAGCAGTGTAGGAAAAGCACAGTCCTAGGGCTAGGGCCAGGGCCAGGGCCAGAAGCTGGGCTTTTGTAGTCCTAGGGCTGTGCTGAGAACTATACAGAACTTCAGTTACATCATTCCCACCAGACCTGATCTAAATTAGACTACCTCCAGCTATTTTTAGACTGATCTACTATCTTGAACCTGTACAGTTCACATTTAGATCCATCTAGGGATCCAAGTGTAAGGTCCATACCTGGGAGAACTAAGTTTAGTTGAGTGGCCATTTTTAATGTGATCTAACCTCCCCCTAAACTCCCAGACATCTGTATGTACCCTAATTGGCTAAAAACTATTAATTTATGCTGAAAAGAAAGCCAGCTTTCTACATGGCCTTGGGTAAGTCATGACATCTCTCTAAGGCTCATTTAACATACTTCTACTATAAGGAATAATCACAATTACCTTCCTTGCAAAGCACTTTTTGAGCTCAACAAATGCTAAGTGCTATAGATAAATTAAACTAAACTAAACTAAACAAAACTCTATCAATCCAAATCTATTTTCCCTCCTTTCCCCAAAAATATATTATTATAGTAGTGTTATTTTTTACAAAAAGAAAGAGGGAACACATGAACGAAAGAATGAACAACAAAACAACTACTGAAAGTACTAGGGTTTTGCATATCTGAGGGAAAATGAGACAAGTACAAACAGCACTAATTCATTCCTTTTTCCAGCAGAATACAGCCTTTTTTTCATTACAGTTGGCTTTATACCAAAGCAGAATTGGTAAATCAGATCTTATCATATATGTACAGACATACAAGGAAATTCTTTTACCTCTAGGTGACCAAAGCTAATTGACCAAAGCACTATTCTTTGTAACCTAATAATTTCTATAGGAAAGGCAACTTAGCATGTGACTTACATAGTAAGGTGAAAGAGGAAAAGAAGTCTCAATTTATTTTAAACCCTGTTGTTTTGCACACTGTAAGAAACAGAAGCAGTTGCATATGTTTAATTACATTTAAGGTCTATTCCTGAAAGGTATGTTGACTGCATGATGCAACGAGTTTCAGCAATAATCCGACCACAACACCATCCTTGCTATGCTCTACCACTATTATAAGAGGATAGAAGATAGCTCTTATTACAGACTTGAATCTGCTCCATTTCAATTCATTGCTAAAACCTCAAATGTTTTTGAAAGTGAAAGATCAGAATTTTTTAACTGCCTATCTTGTTACAAAAAAGTGATTTACTTTAATAGTTGCAATTTACCCAGAGAGATACTCATTCCTCTATCTTTTATACCTTCATTTTTTCCTGTTTTATGAAAAAGTTTCACACAGACATCAACTTGATTGTTTTCTCCCATCCATCCTGTCTTTTATTTTATCTCATAATAAACCAAGCATTTTCCCCTCTGTGAGTTGAGAGCATCCTGACTTGGACCAGTATGTTTTTTCTTTCCTTCCTCTACTCATACATTTCTGATTAACTAGTTTGGGCTAGCTGAGATGCTCATTTTTCTTTGTTTTGTTTTGCTTTTTAAACTATTTAAGGGTTTTACATAATCCCCATTGCTATTTATGTTAGGCAAAAATATCTAGAAATAGTAAACAAAAAAAATATCTTAAATGAAGTTCCCAAAAGCATAAAATAGGGAGAAATATAACTAAGATAAAAAGAAATGAAAATAATTAAATCTTTGTTGCTGATACATTTATTGTATTCCACTATGATTATCCCAGGTGCTACCTGCATAATGCATAAGCTAGTAATGACACCATGTGTATTACACTGCCCTTGATATAGGAAGTTTGACCTATACTGTAGTATGATCCACTGAAGCCCACACAAGCTCACAAATTAAATTCATGGATCAGCTAAATCTTTACAGGCCTATTTTTCATAATTAACCACTATAAGATGACAAGAACAAATTGTTTTGTTTCTGATTCTAAGCCAAGCAGCTTAGTTATTTATTAGGTCCTTGATGCAAGGAATTTGAATCTGCCTAATGCTATATTCCACTATACTATCCTACCATCTAAGAAGGATAAGGGTGTTTTCTTCTAGAAGGTAAGAGATACAAGATGGAAATACCTCCCACCCATTTTTATTTTCTAAACGAGTCACTATTCCCATCTTGATCATGGCGACTTCATGGCGCCTTATGGTATGTATATGGAGAAAATTACTTCATGGGAAGCTGCATTTAGATGAGTTACTTGTCAAATGGTTGCATTAGTTTTACATGCTTGTATGTATTCCCAGGGATGAAACTATGATACATCACAACTATAAATTTCCAATCCACAGCAAACAACTTAAGTGTCTGACAGAACTATGAAAGGGAAATTAAACTTAAATTTAGGAGCAATTTAGTAGTGTCATTTTTCTGACTGTAGAGATTATACTTATCCTGCCAAATATCCATTGATACTACTATCTGCTAAAGTCAGACTGTTTGCCTCTATTAATATTGCAGTCATTTGATCACTGCTCTGCTTGCTAGAGATGAAATCATTCCTACAGGCAGTATGAACTGTATACATTACAAACTGAGTTATGTTAATATCTTCTCAAGATACCAACTGTTCAACACACAAAATTCAATGCTTCTGATATTTCATATCTGTGTAGAGATTTGAGCAAAACACTGATTCAATTAAGCATGAATATAAACACGAGAAAATATCCACTTCCAAAATGTGATGCATATAATTTGAACTTGCACCATAATCACTAATTGACAGGGACTCACGATTTTAGAGCAATTTACTAAAAACAATCAATTGATTCTAGTGATTGCAAAGCTAATCTCCAT